AATAAGGGTAGTCATAACCTTACTTGCTAAGTCCCCTGATCCTCTAAACCCTATAGATCCCTTAAAGGAACCCTATATAGATCTTTTTAAGGAGCCTTTTAAGAACCCTTACTTACTAAGTCCCCTCATCCTCCCCCTTTCCAGGCGTGGCCTACGAAATTCGGCCCGCGGTGCTTTCGGCCTCAAGCGTCCGAGAGCGATTGGAAGTGGCCATTGAGGGCATCCGGGGGAGCATCGACCATATCAGTGGAAAGCGGAAGCTGTTCTGAAAAAGTCGGGTGCGAGCGTGTGGGATTCCCAGAGCCACCCTCCTTCATGCAAGTCTTGTCTGCTACCGGCAATATGCGATAATCTAAACTCTCAGCCTCTGTAGTTCTTCCCAAAGGGTCCTAAGCACTGTTATGGGGTATACTTCCCCAAATCATACTACTATTTCCGAATATAGAACCCTACATTCTACCATATAATACAGATACTTTGGACCCTTTGGGGTCTGCTACCGGCAATATGCGCCAACCTAAACTCTCCGCCCTGTAGTTCTTAGCTCATTGCGGCATTAAGGCTTCTGCTTTTTCGTTTGCCGAGGCTATGCTAGGAAGCAGCGAGCGTCTGGGCGACATGAAGAGGTGCGCAGAGCAGGCTTTTTTCATTTCGTACTTAGAGGATCATGGGACTTAGTAACTAGGGTTATAAGCAAGGTAAGTATACTCATAATTACATATAACCCCAATTAGGGTACTTACGGTTGATGATACAAATCATGCATTACCCATAATAAGGAATATACCAGGTTTCCCATAATTTAAGGTCCTTCAGGTAATGCAGGATTTATATCACCAACCCTAAACCCTAAACCCTATAGATCCCTTATTGGAAGCCCTTAAAGGTACCCTTATAGATCCCTTTAAAGGAACCCTAGGATTTATATCATCAACAGTATTTATAGCCTTACTTACTAAGCCCCCTGATCCTTCAAGTAGACCCTAAACCCTAAACGCTTTGGATCCCTTTAAGGAACCCTATAGATCCCTTAAGGAGCCCTTTCGGAACCCCTTACTAAGCCCTCTGATCCTTGAAGCACGGCATGGGGCTGCCGGTACACTCGGCGCCTACAGTCCCAGAACTGGTCTAAAAGTGGCCCTCAACCCTACCTGGAACCCAACAGTATGTAGAATAATGGCCTTGTTTATGGGTATTGGGCCAGTATTTTGACTACTTTGGGGGGTGAAGGTAGACCCCTTAACCCCAAACTGCCCATCAGGGCAGTGGCCGTGCTAACGCATCTCAGCATCTTCCCGCGTGTCGCTCCTAGCTCCTGGCTCAGTCGGTTCGTGAAAGCTTGCTTCGTTATAACCAGGTGGCGTTTAGGTTTTAGGGAATAGGGATAGTGGGGTTGAGGGCTTAGGGTTTAGAGTTCTAGGTTTGGGGTTTCGGGCTGTAGCGTTTTCCGGGATTCAAGGTCCAGTGTTAAGCCGGTATAACGATCACATCGAGGTTCGTCCATGCTGTGATATGTTCGTCGACGAAACTGCATACTGGCTGCATACTGGATTTGCTTGGGCAGTTTAGGGGGTTTCCCTAGTGATTGTAGTTTCATATACCCACAACCCTATTCAGTATTGCGGCCCCGATATTGGCTACCTACATACTCTTTTCTTGATGCAGTTTCAGAAGCCTCGTACAGTTGACTCCAGCAAGTGGCTTTGATGCAGCCCATGAGGCTTGAACTTATACGTGCATCAAAATAGAGGCTTATAGGACCTTTGGGGGGTGTTGGGGGGGGTGGGGGTTGCCCAGACTTCCTCAGATGATCTTCGCGAGCTTGATTTCTTGAGGTACCCTTACTTGCGGTCGGTAAAACAATGACAACGGTAGGGTAGTGGTGCTATGACTTGTGACGATAGCCACGTTGATAGTCAGGCTGTTACGGAAAGATACAGACAGTCTTGATAGTAAGTGTACTTAACCGTCTTATGATCAATCGCAGTGTCAGAATAGTCATCTTTATTCTAGGGCAAACAGGCGTAGGCACCACTCTGGGGGAGCAGCCCAAATCCCTTCGACCCCCCTTCGCCGAACCCCCGCCCCCTTCGTCGAACTTCGCCCTCGGCTGTGGCTAATATTAGTATTAATATATTTAGTATTAAAATAATATAATAATTAGTAGTAGTACTCTTATATAATTAGTATTAAGATATACTATAACTAATTACAAGTATTATTGTATGAAACATGCGAGGATTAGTATTTGTTGTTATATTAGTTTTAGATAATAGAGTCTGAGTACTTGCTTATGTGTCATACTTCCGGTGTAGTAATTGTAAGCCACAAATAAAGAAAAACAATAACAAAAACAGCCCATCACAAGAACTCTAGTAACTGATTGAGAAGCAATGGTTAACTATTTGGACAACTACAAAGACAATGCACAACTTATTACTTATGATAATGAATAAGAGCTACGGAATAATAATGACCATTTGTTTGCTAGCCAAATAATTCTTGTAGTAACTCATATGATAAGAACAAATAATAACTGCCATACCCCCGAGTGTAGCAACAACAACAATCGCCCGAGTCTCACCTACCTAAGTACATATAACCTTAGTCGTGTAACATTTGCGTGGTAATTGAAATTGTAGAACAGCCGCCCGAGTGTAATAATTTAAAACCAACGACAACTGCCCGAGCCTCACCTACCCAATCATCTGTGCATAGTTTATGCAATATATATTTAGTATTCTGAACATGAGTATAACACATATGCATTAGCTTCCCCATAACTTTAAAGCCCCCTGTAACTTCCCCTTAACCTTAAACCCCAGCCCGCCCCTTCACCTCCGGCGCCGTCGACACGACAACCGCCGGCGCCCCACTTTCGGGTGTGGGTTTTAGGTCCAGGGTAGTTGTAACTTGGTTCTTTGGGTTTCGCGTTTAGTGTCCAGGGTGTAGGGGTTTGGGGTTAGGGTTTGGGGGTCAACGGGTTTGGGAGTTGTTTGGGGGGAGCAGGTTGTTCAGGGGTTCAGCCTGGGGCCTTGGCGTGTTGGTGGGGTTTCGGGTTTAGTGTTGAGGGTTTGGAGCTCAGGGGTCGAGGTTCTAGGGATTGGTGGTTCGGGGGGTCCGGGTTTTTCAGGGTGTTCAGATTGGGGCTTTGCGGGTTTGTCGGGTGGAGCATGATCTTGTGTTGATTGGGGTTTGGGGTCGGGTTGGGGCTTGACTCAGGCTGGGGTTTCGGGTTGAGGCTTAGTTGAATTGATGGGTTGTTACTGTTAATTTAATTTAATTCTAGTAACTGCCGGGGGCCCTGGACTTCGTGACGAGGCGCGTTTAGGATTAGTGGTTATTAGAGGTTTGGGTTTGAAGAGGTGGACTGGTGCATTGCACCAGGCCCCTCAACAGCATCCAAGATGCCAGGTGGCCGCGGCGGCCTGACCACCGGTCAGGCTCCCGGCTCAATAGGCCTGGGCGGCCGTGGCGGCCTGACTTCGGTCAGGCTCCCGGCTCCCGGTCTTCTGGAAGCAGCCTTGTCTGGGCGGCTGCGGCAGCCTGACCACCGGTCAGGCTCCCGGCTTCCGGCATGGCCTGGACGGCCGTGGCAGCCTGACCACTGGTCAGGCTCCCGGCTTCCGGCATGGCCTGGACGGCCGTGGCAGCCTGACCACCGGTCAGGCTCCCGGCTTCCGGCATGCGGCTTTCAGTTCACCCTGGCATCTTCGGATACTGGTCTGGGTGGCCGCGGCTCCCGACCAGATCATTCCAACCTCGCCCGAGCCCCCAAATAGCAGTAGTCTGAAACCCTACTAATAAATCAAGACTATACTTAAATTATACCCTAAACCATAATAATATTAATAATACACATTCCCCTCCCCGCCCGGCCCTGGTCCGAGCCTCAGTTACGGAGTCAGTTGGGGTTGATTGATTCATTCCCCCTAATTATACCCTCAATTTCAACTAGTAAGCCCTAAATAAATAAAGGAGGTGTCAACCCGAACCCCACCTGAAGGCTTCAATTGACTTGTCCGAGTTCTGAGAATAGCAATGCTTATAATTCTAATAAGTAATAATTATACTAATAGTGATCATTCCGTATTCCAGGTTGAAACTGCCCGAGCTTCCCAAAGCATCGTTCATGGAACTTCATTCTTCAAGAGAGCCATGACAATCATAATAATACTCATTCTTTGATCGTCATAGACATTCGTTAGTTAAGAAACTAAACAGCGTCCCATGGATCATCACCCCACCAAGCCATCCTTGCAACTGCCCGAGCGACCCATACCTCCTGCCCGAGCCCAGAGCAAAGAAGACTACTAGTGCTACTAGGATCCAACTCAATATAATTATTATGATTATAAGACCCCGACTACAGACATCAAAAGCATGCTCTAGCAGCCACAGCATTCCCACAATCGATTTTGCATTATAATATACAATATTGTTCCAGCCAATTAAGAGCCCTGTGTTTGCGAAGTTGGGAGTGTTTGGATTTGGGACTGCGTGAACATCCAGTCCCCAGCCCCACACCTCAGTACTTAGATTCGTAAATAAACCACAACGACAACCCCAAACTCTAGACTTCGGAGCCTTCAACCCAAGGAGCTTGCTCACCCGCAATCGCAATACCTGCCGCTCAGGTCTGCCACCCGCTGCGATTCGCCGTTGGCTGACCACGATTGTCCGAGGACCGGTCCATTGACGGGGTGTCGAGGGCTGTGGCAGCATCAATAAACAAATAAGACTAAACATTTCTGGGTCGAAGGGGCTTGAAACCTTGCTAAAAATATTAAACGTGGGCCACATTGGAGTTTGCAGAGGTACGTCCGAGATCCAGGCCACACGTCAAAGGGTATTTATTATTACTATTGACTATGTGTCCAGTCCCGCATTTGGCAAAATTCATGAGACTTTTAATAAACTTCAGTGGCTGTGACCGACACCGCCGCCATCATCCTCGAGTAATTCGTGAAGCACTTGATTGAGCGGCTGGGGTTTTAGCACCCACTTTGCCTCCAGACGATAGCAAGCCCGTGCAGCAGGGCCACCAGTAGTAGAAGTAGTGGAAGAAGTAGTGGTAGTAGCAGCAGCAGCAGTGTGGTAGTGCTAGTGGTAGCAAGGCTCATAATAATTCTCTAACGAACGAGAGCCCTCGTCTCAATCCCATACATGTACCTATTATTTTACACGTAGTCAGTGGCTAGAATTTGAAGTATTGAGTACCTTGTCAATTGTAAACATTAATCATTTAGATCGAAGTTCTGTGCCAGCC